GGGCCTGTAAAATTAAATGAGCCCAATTAGAGATCTAAGAGTGAAATGGCACTTAAAGTGGTCGTTTTACTACTTTCAAATTTCAATATTAGTTCATCTTTTGAAATGTTACAACTTATTTCTAATTTGATCGATAAAAGTATTTAACTTCGAAACTTACTCTAAGCATTAGTAATTTGTGAGTTGTATAATATTATTAAAAAATTAATTATAGATCTTATTGATTACGGACTAATTCGATTCAATAATACGTTTCAAATCGAGTATAAAACCATCGGAGGTACAATTCGAAGTCCCTGCCAATAACTTAAAAAGTTAATAAACCATAAGTTTTAAGCAGATTGCCTCGCCAAGGTGCAATTGTGACTACTCCCCTATCATTACAGTAATGAACATCCCTATGGGCTTCATTTGTTATGTTGTCATATTTATGAAAATGAATGAAAACTTTAAAAAGATTACTTTTTCTATTATTTTTCAATTATTTTTATCAAGTATGTTGCAGCACTCAATTAGTGGCAGATTGAGTTTGTCTCGAAAATTGTTCAATGTTAGATTGATTCTGTGGTGGGATTTCGTTAAAGAGTCGTCCGTTAAATTTAATTAGGTTTAGATAAAGTGTTCGGTTGAAACGTTCATTCGCAAAGATAAAGATTCGGTTTTCTCTAACATTCATTGATTGCTCAATCGAACTTATCAAATCAAGTCAATTTCTTTTATGGTATAGGAAGATCATAGCTTAATCAAGATATGTATGCGATGAATTTTCTATGTAACACATCTGCCATAATAGTTTTCACCTGGACACATTTGCTAATTGTTTCTGGTACATGCATCTTATTCATAATTTTGTGCATCTAAATATATTGAATGATTATACATCAAAATTGTGAACGATAAGATTATAACATTTAAAGGTGACATTGTGATCAAATTTGATTGAATGAAAAAATAAAAAAAATTATTAATTGTACCTCAACATTATTTGTATTTGTAGGTATCTAATTGCTTAGAGGCTCATAAAGTAACAGCAAATACAGACAAGATTCGCCGCGAAGGAGTATTTCAGTAAAGTCGCAAAATTACATATGAAGGTTTATGTTTGCTTATTTCAAAACGTCAAAGAAGTCGATGATCTTATGAAGAACCCTCTTCCCGATGAAACTATCCCACGAGACTGTCTCATAGTTGAACTCTATTCTAAAAATAAATTAGATCCTCTTATCAATTTTGAAGTCAATGTGTATATGCACAAATATTTTGTTTATTTTTGCGTTAGTGGTAGTCCATATCTCCCTCTTTAATTTATTTAATTTATTCTTTTTTTTTTAATATTTTGTCTTCTCTTTTGTAACTGTCCTTTTCTTTGGTTGTTTATTTAATAAAAAATTTTAATATTTAATTTTAATTGTAACGTCATCATTAAGATGTGCAAAAACATAATATTATTTATAATTTCAAGATTAGATATGTAATGTACCTTGATCAAGATATTAACCATTTAGTGCGAGTTTTGACCCTATTTGTTTCCAATTCTTTTCTCATTAAAATGAAAAATATAACCATTATCTATCACATCGAACCACAAATTTGAATTTTTATTTCTTGTATGGGGTTCATAACGACTATATTTTTCATTTTCATATTTACAAAAATGGAAAATAAACACAATATACTGAATGGTATAAAAATGGTCACTTAAGAATAACTTTTTTACTTTTAAGCAAAATTTTTAACTTGCCAATAGATGCTCTTATTCCCAATTTTCAATTACTGCCAGACCGATGCAAGGAAGTCATAAAATTCTTTGTTGAAAATTAGGCACAATACTTTGAAAACTTTTATTTTATTGGCTTACTTTTTCAACGTTACATCGTATGGCCGACACCACCGACTGTTATCTGACGCGTTATGGAGTATTGCCTGACCTAAAATAAGTTCGTTAAAAATGTCAAATAAAAATTAACTTGACAAATTTTTTTTTATTTTTATTATTATTATTTTTTTTTCAATTATCACCATAGTTAATTACACATGAACCATTAATTCTTTTATTGCATCCAATATATTTACGAGAGAAAAATTATAGTCGCCATTTTTAATATTCACTATTTTGCCCTTCTATCCTCAATCTCAGCTTTTTGGTGACGTTATTGTTATTATTATTATTATTTTTGGACATACAAGGTCCAAGTCGACGAGAAGTTTGATTGAGATGAGCCTGATGTTACAAGTATATATATATTTTTTTGAACTCACAAATTGAATCTATTCCCGTCACTATCACAAACAAATATGTATGGGGCGTTTGTTTCCCATTTTTTATAAAAATGAGAATGAAAAATATAATTATTATGAGTTCCACATAAAAGATAGAAATTCAAATTTGATGACTTGATGTAATGAATAACAGTCATATTTTTCATTTTAATAGGAAAAAAAGGAGAAACAAACGGGGGCTTAATGTAAGAGTACTAGTAAATACTATTCTTATATGAATTCCACACACAGTGGACAAAATGCAAAGATCAAGACGCTCTTTAATATGATTGGCCCTTTTAGTCTGGATGTTATTAGATGCTGAATTTATGAGCCAGTAATTATCTCTTTATCTTATTTTCTCATGAAAAATTCTTCAGGTACAAAATTTTTTTACCAGAAAAATGACAGATTTTTGAATTCCTACTCACATGGGAGTGGGCCCCATGTATAAAATATTGTAAAATATTTTTCCCCCCTTCCTGTGTGTATTCGGTAGGTACAGGGATTTAAATCCCTATACCTATAACAGGTCTCTTTTCTCAAATACCCTTTATTTACAATTTAGGTATTTTGTAGGAAACACATAGTTCACCTAATTTTGACAACATTTATCCATTATAAAATGAGTAATGTTATGTAATTTCACTAGAATTATAGCCCCAACTTGAATGACACTAGATGATAAGTTAAATGAAAGCCATTTAATTTCACTTATCATTTAATGCTACATTAATGACATTCAGATTGAAGTTGTAACCCATTGGGCTTAAAAGCATTACTCGTATAAAATGTATCACTAGGAGTTTGTGAAAATATATATAGGACACCAATGTGTCACATATCAACTTTGATAGATGCTTATTTTGACCTCATAATAAAAATTGGCGTACCATGCTTTCGCAGCGGAAGTGTGTATGATCGGCCTAAACACGAGCTCCATGTTTTTGTCAAACCTTCATTTTTTATTATTATTTTTTAATTTAGAGCTAAGAACAAGAAGAAAATATAGATTAATTTGACGAAACAAGACACTCTCATTTCCAACTTCCTATTTTAATTTGTAGTTACTTGGAATCTATAAAAAGAAACCAAAAAACTCAGCGCATAATTAGAAAAACATAACATGTATTTCTATTTCTCAAAGCTTTCTAATTACAAATTACAATATTATTTCAGTCGTAATTTTTGACTTTTTCACTCACAAATAAGATCCACTTTTCTCTCTAACGGTCAAAAAATCAATTTTCAAAATCACTACCGAATAGGTCCTTAGAAATTCATTCTTGTACGATCTACCCTACAAATTTGAAATGCATAGAAAAATTAAAGAAGAAAAAGTACAGTAAAAGAATGGAAAATAAAGGGCTGTTTGGGAGTGATTTTTCCTCCCAAAAAATTAATTTTTTGACTGTTATTTCACTATTTCAATCATCATATTTGACTTCTTCTCTCACAGGTGGATCCCACTTTTTTCCTAACGGTCAAAAAATCAATTCTCAACATCACCCGCAACCAGGCTCTAAAACCAGTTAGCTTGACTTTGCTCAACATAGCCCAGTAAAATTATTAGCACGATGCGTTACTAATCATATAATTCCAGTAAGTAGAAAATTTTTTGTACAAAACGGTCAAAATTCTTGTTCAAGTAAAAAAGCTAACTTTATTATGTGATTCCGTGATCTCTCCAGATTTTCCTGTGACACCATTATTAAATTTACTTAAAAAAAAAAAAAAACAAAAGCAACTTTTAATCGTGATTATACTTTACGACCCTGGTGGTGAAAGAGCGAAGAACTGTAATCCTGTTTAAATCTTGCTTAAGAGTGCCCCAATCCTCACCCCCAAGCTTTTCTATCAAAATGACGGTACGCGTTAACTGATTAAAATATTTTATTTGATGAAAAGATTTTGGCCATAAAAAGTAAGAGAGACACACGTACCACTAATACTTGGTTAGTACTACAATAATACGATGTATAAAATATATACTTACAGAATACATATAGACACACACAGGTGGGGAGGAGAATTCTGTGGCTTTGGATTCTTCTAGCAGATCGTGCCTGCCAGCTTTTGGTAGAATGGGTAATAAAGAAAGTGTGAGGACTGTTTGAGGTAGAAAAATAGTTTTAATATCAATAAACTCTGTCGACCGTCAGTGAGAAGAAAGAAATTCTTGGAAAGAAGAAAAAGGGCTGTCTGTTCGATAATAGAGTCTTTTTGTGCCAAAACTGGAATTGTGTTTTCTGGATTCTAGAGAGAGAGAGAGAGAGAGAGAGATGACGGAGGAGAGACCGGTGGTGGCGGCGGCGGCGCTGCTCATTGGCATTCTGGTGTTTGGGCTGAGCTCGACCAATGCAGACACAGATCCAAATGATGGTCAGCATTTTGAGCTTGCTTTTTCATAATCAATTTTTACTGTAAATGTATATGCTTTTCTCAATACATCGATGAAACATATTTGCATTTTTGTAGTGGATTTGGTGTTATGTAAGTGCAAATATGGATTTTTTTCTTTATTTTTGGCGTAAAGGGATTTACAAGAGCAAGCATTGCAGTGTACACTTTGATTGTTGAGTTTCTGGGTAGCAAGGGATTTACAAGAGCAAGCATTGGCAGTGTACACTTTGATTGTTGAGTTTCTGGGTAGCACATAATTAGGTGAATTTATAAAGAATATTGAGTGGGTTAGGAAATTAGAAAGTCGAGTTTACTTTTGTTTTTTTTAAGATTTGGGGTTCTTAATATTTTGTTGAGTTTATTTGTTCTTTAATCTCGTGGAATGTTCATTTTGATTCGGGTTTATTTTATTCATAATTTCTTGAATGATCTTCCTGCAATTCGCTATATGAGTATTGGCAATTCATATCCGTGCTTAAGTTGAGAGGAAATTTATTTTAACCTACTTGAGTATATGCATATTCTTTATCATGCATTGGTGTATAGATTTGTCATAATCTGTCTAATAAATGTTGAGAAATTGAGCTGTAATCTTGACGGTAACACTTTGGGTGTACAGCCTCTGTTCTCAGGGTCTTGTATGGTGCTTTGAATTCTCCTCAGCAACTTACAAAATGGAGTGGGACTACCGGGGATCCTTGTGGAGAATCTTGGACGGGCATTACATGCTCAGGCTCCAAAGTCACAGAAATGTGATTTCACTTGAACCCTAATAGCATGTTTTAGGGAAGGTTGGATAGTACTGGACCATACTAGAAAAGAAGCTAAAATCATTTTTATTATTAATGTCCAGTCCTATCGAATTCTGCGTACCAAATATACACTTTTCTCCTTTTGTTATTCTCATTTCTTAATTTGGCTACTTTCTGACATGTTAACTTTTGCACATATATTCTTCAGAAAAATATCGGGACTTGGACTCACTGGTAATATGGGATACCAGCTAATGAGTTTGACATCCTTAACAACTTTGTAAGATGAAGGGTGTGTTGCAAATTTTTATTTTGCATTATTTCTTTGTAATACTTTTATATTCTGATTCAATGGCATATTGCAGCGATATAAGCAATAATAATCTCGGAAACCAGATTACTTATAATCTTCCTACAAATCTGCAGCGACTGTATGTCATGTCCTTATATCCTGTTATTCTATTCCCTCTGTTTATTGTCACGATCTTATCTAACATCTTTCTCAAATGCAGAAATCTTGCCGGCAATGGCTTCAATGGTGGCATTCCCTACTCAATTTCACAGATGGCTTCCCTAAAATACCTGTTAGTAATACCTTAATCTCTACCATTCCAATTAAAAGTAAAATAAATCAGGCACCTATTTCTGATTGAATAAAATGCTTCTTTCCACTGCAGAAACGTCAGTCACAATCAAATTCAGGGCCAACTGAATGACATGTTTGGATCACTTTCCGCTCTGTCCACGTTGTAAGCCTGCCTCCTTGTCCTCTTGATGCTTGGATTCATTTTGATTTTTAGCATGTTTTTGGATGGCTCACAGCATTGTTTCATTAATACTGTCTTGACTTGGGATACAAAATACAAGTTTGTTAGTTTTCTTTAATTTTGTTAAAAAGCAGTGATTAATATTCATGCTTCAGGGATTTCTCTTTTAATGCCATGACGGGTGATATTCCTCAGACTTTTCGCTCGCTCACTAGTATGACTGATATGTAAGTTAACATGTTGGTGCTAATGTTTATCCTTATTTTGATCCTTCCATATTGACGAGCTTATCATTATGAAGGTATTTGCAAAACAATCAGTTTACGGGTACCATCGATGTTCTTGCAAATCTTCCCCTTGAAAATCTGTGAGTTAATTGCAATATAAACATATAAAAACTATATATTTGAAAGAGTACCATGAGAAACAATCAATTTGGCTATTGAGCTGATGCATGTTCAATTATCTTTCAGGAACGTTGAAAATAACCATTTTAGTGGATGGATTCCACAGCAGTTGAAAAGCATAAATCTACAGTAAGCATCTCAATGCCCGACTCAATATGTATATGTTGGTTTTCTATGTGGAAAATTTTTCATTCAAGTCCTGCATTTTACATCACAGAACGGGTGGTAATTCATGGAGCTCAGGGGCTGCACCCCCACCTCCACCTGGGACGCCTCCTGCCAGCCGGCCTAACCGAAATCACAAATCTGGAGGAAATAGTGGCTCGTCTGATGGTGGAGGAGATGGAAGCAAATCTGGCATAGGTGCTGGTGGTGTGGCAGGAATTGTTATATCTATTTTGGTTGTTGGAGCAATAGCTGCATTCTTCATCATAAAGAGACGATCCAGAAAGCCATCCATGGATATTGAAAAGCCTGAAAATCAGCCTTTTGCTCCTCTTGCTTCACAAGAAGTGCAAGGTGCATATCCTTCATATTTTCACATAAATATTTAGTGAATTTTGTCAGTCAATTTAATTATTACTTTCTTCACTAGGATCTGGCTGTTTAACAGATTAGAGAAATGTTAGTATGACTTGTTTGGCTAGGTGGATTATACAACATCAGACAATTTTATAAAAGAAACAGAAGCTATATTTTCCACTGTACTGTCTTGTCTTGAAATATACTGGGTACCAGACTGCTTGTAATGTTTTTCTCTCACAAGGCATTTGCTACATTATTACTTAGGCATGGTCTCACTACTGTAGATTTGAACCTTAAATTTCATCAATATCACATTCTTCAATTTACAAGATCTGGTAGCATCATAACCATGTATAAAGATTGATCGACTTATTATTATTTTTTCAGTTAAATTGGACATCTACATATCGTGTTGTCTGCGACATTTTTCTATTGTTTGCAGGGATGAAGTCCGTTCAAAGTTTATCCACAGCCAGCTCAAAAACCTTTGAAGCTCCTGCCATGATAACCCTGAAGCCGCCTCCTATTGATCGTCATAAATCATTTGATGAGGATGATGTTTCGACGAAGCCTATAGTTCCCCCCAAGAAAATCAATACAGTCCCCATAAATGCTAAATCATATTCAGTAGCAGATCTGCAGATAGCTACAGACAGCTTCAGTATTGAAAACCTTATTGGCGAAGGATCTATTGGACGCGTTTATCGTGCTCAATGTGATGACGGAAAGGTGACCTTTTTTAACTCAGGAATCACATATAGTTCAGTTCTTGAAATGTAATATTGTATGGACATTTTATATTTGATGTTTAAAGTAGGTTTATATTTAAGAATTCATGAGAGATGTAATATTGCTTTGAACACAGTGGACATTAAACTGTGAAGAAATGGTATGATTTGAAAGGGTATGTGTGAGTTAGAAATTCTACAATTCCACTGTTAGAATTTCTTAAAAAAATGAGTTGAATTAACATTTTGTCATTATAAAATTGTAATTGCACACTATATATGTTCCATTTAGGGGTTTTCTACTATTGAATTTAGTGATTTAAACATTACGTCTATGCAGGTTCTTGCCGTGAAGAAAATAAATTCATCTACTCTGCTTAATCACGAGGACTTTTTGGACATCGTGTCAGAGATTTCCCGGTTGAATCACCCAAATGTAACCGAGTTGGTGGGCTATTGTTCTGAGCATGGACAACTCTTGCTGGTTTACGAGTTCCATAAAAATGGTTCTCTGCATGAGTTCCTTCATCTCTCAGATGAAGATAGCAAGCCCTTAACGTGGAATACCCGTGTCAAGATTGCATTGGGGACGGCACGTGCACTAGAGTAAGTTCGCCTAGCAGTTTATGGAAATTGTTGACAGCATTACACACGGTAGCACAAATTTTGCCACATAATTGTCACCCTCTATGTTTTTGTTATTGTAATCAGCTGTCACGTGCAAATGAAACCACAAAAAAAGCTTTTCCTAGAGCATGTTAGATTAAGCTTAAAGGGTTTACTTATAATCAAAGAAGTATTTTTAAAAAAAAAATAATTTTTTCACTTATTAAAATTAAAAAGTAAGGTAACATATACAATCAGAATAAGTAACTTGTTTACATAAAAGTAAGAAAAATGTAACTTATTCGATCATGTTTTGAAACAAAATGTAACTCAAGTAATTTTTGCTTATTTTTAAACTTAGCCAAAAATGGTGGTTTATGTATTTTGTTCACTCTTTTACTTCAGTGCACAAGTGGCCTGTTGCTCAAGCAAATTTTATTTCTAGGTACCTTCATGAAGTTTGTTCACCATCTGTTATTCACAAGAATTTCAAATCAGCTAACATTTTACTTGATACGGAGCTCAATCCTCATCTTTCAGATTGTGGTTTAGCGAGCCTCGTCCATGAACCAGATCAGGTATATATATCCCAAAGCTCTCTTATATCTTTCCCGAACAATTTTGGAAGATTAGTAGTCTCCAAGCGACTGTCTCTGTATTGAAGGAGGATGGGGAAAATTAAAGTATGTGTCACCCTATTTCATTCTTCGAGACGGAATTTGCAGTGACATCATATTTGTTTGAAGATGATCCAATTAGCTTTCTTAGGAATGAAGGTTGCTGCCTTCCCTTCACGTATCAATGCGTTTATTCAGCTTTTTTTGCTTTTTTTTTTTTTGTCGTCAAAGGGAGTCTTTACCTACTTTCCATAACAAGCAATTTTACTGTTTTTTGAGGTTTGGAGTGTGTGTGGCTGAGCCTAGAAAACAAGTAAAAGTACTTGTAAAAACTTACTTTTAAAAATGTTATTTTTTAACTAAAAGTTACTCCTTTTTTCTTTTGGCAAAAATGTTTGGGCAAAAAAAGTTATTTTAATTAGGCTTTAGAGTTGTGTGTTTATGGAGGAGTAATGGGTCAAACGAAATGTATGGATAATAAGTGGATGGTAATTGAGAATGTGTGGTTAAAAATTAAAGTTAGACCGAAAATTATGTGTAATTTGTAGATTCCCAAACATTTTGGCTAAGCTTAAAAGTGCTTTACAAGTTTGCATGATATTTCCATTTTTGGGTTTGGATCTTTTGCAGGCATCTGGCTACAGTGCACCCGAGGTCACCATGTCTGGTCAATATACCATAAAGAGTGATGTATATAGTTTTGGAGTTGTGATGTTGGAGCTTCTTAGCGGACGTAAACCATTTGACAGGTACGTTAAATCTCTTTGGAGCAGAATAGAATTGCATATAGTCCATCGTCTTATAATTAATGTTTCATAAATTAGTGCTCTCAAATAATTAACAAAATGTTAAGGAACAAATTCTGTACGTCTCAAGAGTCAATATTTCATATACCCAATAATTGATATTCTTTTGAAATAAAATCTTGTGCAATAAATCACGAGAGGAAACTGTATTAAATTTCTATATATGTCGTGGCTACAATGTGTATTTATCCATTGATTCCATAAACTATAAGAAGAGTATGTTTGGTAGGCAACATTAAACGGTACAATTGACAATATTTTAGCTTGTTTTACAATTGACAATATTTTAGCTTGTTTTTCTTCCTTAATAATGTTCACTCTTGTCTAATCCACCTAACTAAAAATAACCATCATGTCAAAAAAAAAATAATAATAATAAATAAAAAAAATAAAATAAAAATTGATAGGGTAAATGCACAAGTTCACGATAATGAGTTCTCATTACATCTTAGTTGGATTACAGTTTGAATTCAACATATTGAGGGCTAAAAGATGTCCCATGCAGTGCATGGTCCATTTGTAGAAAAATAATTCGTAGAAAAATACAAGGACCAAGAACACAATTCGAACTAAATTTGTTCTGTTTATGAACTAAATTTTGACATTGCTTGTAAATTTTCTTTGTGCCATTACCATATATAGATGTAGAAAGATCATATGATCAACAAACTTACTACTGTGTAATTTTATAATTGATCACTTTGATAATTACTTTGATAATTAGTAAAATTTTCATCTTGACATAATTAATTACAATGACAATGAGGGCTGGATGTACACGTCTATTGCAATATCATTGGTGTTTATTTTTTCTGACACAGCTCGAGGGCAAGAGCTGAGCAATCTTTAGTTCGATGGGCAACTCCTCAACTCCATGACATTGATGCTCTGTCTAAGATGGTCGATCCAGCACTGAAAGGGCTCTATCCCGTCAAATCTCTATCTCGTTTTGCTGATGCCGTTGCTCTCTGTGTCCAGGTACTGTTTTAATTAGAAATGAAATGAATTTCACGATTCTTTAGCAATAGTAATAATTCCCTCCTTTCAATAGAACTATGATCATATTCTTACTGTATTCAATTGTTGTTTGTGGCAGCCTGAGCCTGAGTTTAGGCCGCCTATGTCTGAGGTGGTCCAAGCTTTGGTTCGTCTAGTGCAACGAGCAAACATGAGCAAGAGAACATTCGGAAATGAAGGTTCGGCGAGAAGTGACGGTCAAGATGGTCAAGACTACACTCCTTAGATCCCCCTTGAGCAGAAGCAGGAGTATCGATACTTCATTCTTTGCTTTTCATGGGATCTTGTTCGCATTGTATAATAGTGAGAATCGATGGTAAAATTTGTCCCTACCATAGAATTCTTTTTCGCTCGTATCTTCACCTTCATTTCAATGTATTCAAAGTTAAAACCATTGCAGATAACTGGTTCGTCTTTATAAACTGCAAGAGTATCTTCTTTCTGAAACACGAGTCTCCTTTATTTACCAGGCGATTTTAACTTATTGCAAGAATGGGAAATGAATAAAAGTGTGATGGCCCGAATCCTTGACTATTCAAGTGTCACTAAATAAAACTTAATTATTTCATAAGAACTAAAATAAGAACATAATTTTATTTTTCTTAAATAAGTAAATAAATTTTGGTTTTATCATGTAGCTGCAAAAAAAATGAATGAAAGAAAAATGATTTCAACATAAAAATTACATTTGAAATTCAAAGTTGTGTTTTAAAACACAAAACAATTTATTAATCCTAACCCCATTATCTTCACATTAATTGCCTCGAATAATCAATTGTTTGAAAAGGGTAATTATCATAGAGTGAGATTTATAAAATCCCAATAAGTACGCCATGAATTATTATTGTGTATAATTTGAAAGAGTATAATAATCATAATCAATATAATGTAAACACATGAATTTTACCGAGCATGTGGTAAGAATTCTTATGTGTAGCGCTACTAAACTCCAGTCCCCTTAATATAATCATAAACGTATCATACTATATGAGACCCATAATAATTTTCTTGAAATTCATGACATAATAACAATTCAACATAAACAGCATACTTATAGTGAAATTTGAAAGAATGAGTAATAGAGACTTGATCCCTCTACAATTTACACGTATATGTTTATATTATTTGGACTAAAAAATATAATAGTGAGTGATAGCATGTGAATGTGAATGAGGGGTTTAAATATGATAAGATTAAGCATGTATCAATGAGGAAAAATTCGTGATGGTGGAAATTGTTCCTTGAAATCTGTGAAATGAGCAAGAATCTCTCCCTCATTCTTACATTCATGCATTCACACTACACATTATCTTATGTTTGGTCAATCAAATATAAATCAAGAATTTTCTATGCAAGTGTTTGACCAAAAATTCAATCAAAAATATGTGGAAATTAGCATTTATAGTAAGTTTCCTACAAGGTTTTAGAAGGTGGATTAACCCTCAAATGAGCCACTAAATTTTCAATTTTAATAATTAGACCCGAAAATTCAGGTGCGAGTATTATAATCTACCATCCTAAAAATAAATTTCGTCCTCGAAATTTACCTTGAAATTCATCAAAGAGTTGTGGGTACTTTGCCCGCATCTTCACCTCTCGTTCCCACATGGCCTCTTCAGTCGAGTGTTTTCGCCATTGTACTTTTATTAGTGGGATTACTTTGTTCCGAAGGGCTTAAAATTTCTGATTAACAATTCTTATTGGTACTTTTTCATAGCTTAAACATTGTTGTAATTCAATAGACTAATGGTTGACCACATGACTTGGATCAGGGACGTACTTTCTAAGCATTGACACATGGAAGATGTCTTGTACAGTTAAAAATTTGGGAGGTAACGCTAATTGATATGTGACGTTCCCAATACATTGCAAGATCTCAAACGGGCCAATAAACCTTGATCGTAACTTACCCTTCTTGTCAAAACGTAACACTCCTTTCATCGATGCTACTTTGAGGAATACCTTATCACCCACTGAAGATTTCAAACCCTTTCTTTTTCTATCTGCATAACTCTTTTGTCTATCTTGAGCACTTTTCATGTTGGCGCGAATCTTTTCAATTGCAAGCATTGTCTGCTCAATAATCTTTGGCCCCTAAATCTTTCGCTCACCGACTTCATCCCAATGAACTGATGATCTACACTTTCTCCCATACAATGCCTCGTATGGTGCCATGTCAATTGAAGTGTGGTAACTATTGTTGTATGAGAATGCAACAAAAGATAAATGCTTCTCCCATTGTCCCCCAAACTCAAGGATACATGTCCTCCAATGTTTGAATTGTTCACTCAGACTATCATCCGTCTGAGGATGGAATGCCATACTGAACTTTAGTTATTCCCATAGCTCGGTGTATACTTTTCCAAAAGTTCGACGTGAACCTTGGATCTCTATTCGATACAATAGAAACATGCACACTATAAAACCTTACTATCTCATCCACATATAACTGCGCGAACTGGTCCATAGTAAATATCATTCAAACCGACAAGAAATGGGCTGATTTGATTAGTCGATCCACTGTGACCAAATAGCATCGTGACCTCTTGCTGACATTGGAAAAGCAATCATGAAGTCCATAGTTACATGCTCCCACTTCCACTCTAGGACCTCTAATGGTTCAAGTAACCCTGATGGTCGCTGGTGTTCGTCCTTCACTTGTTGACACACCAAACATTTTTGGACATACTCAGCTATATCCCTCTTCATGTCTTCCTACCAAAATATTGCTTTTAAATCTTTGTGCGTCCCGAGTTAATCGAATAAGGAGAGGAGTAAGCCTCATCTAGAGAAATTCGGTACACACATCTGCCCTTGATAATATAATGCTTCATATTCAGCTATGGTGAAATCCTTCTTTTTCTGAATTAATCTCAGACTTGATGTACTTAAAGGACTTATCACTTTTTTGATGTCCTTTAATTCTGTCACGGAGTGAAAGTCGAATAGATAGAGTTGCTACTCGAGCGATCACACCTGGTTGAGTGGTGACAACCTCGAGATTCAATCTATCAAATTCTCTCCATAATGGTTCTTGTGTAGTCAACATAGCTAATTGACCTGCCATTTTTCAACTCAAGGCATCAGCTACCACATTCGCCTTGCCCGGGTGATAATGAATTTCACAATCGGAATCCTTAACTAACTTAAGACACCTTCTCTGTCTCATATTTAACTCCTTCTGTGTGAAGATATACTTGAGGCTTTTGTGGTCCGTATATATGTCACATTTACCTCTGTAAAGATAATGCCTCCAAATTTTTAATGCATTGATCACCGCGGCAAGTTCTAGGTCGTGCATGGGATGGCTTTGTCATGTAGTTTTAATTGTCTCGATGCATAGACAACCACTTTGCCATGCTGCATTAAGACACATCGGAAACCTTGTTTCGAAGCATCACTATAGATCAGAAAACCATCTGACCTGTTGAGTATGGTTAGCATTGGGGCGTTTACCAGCTTTTGTTTTAATTCCTTAAAACTTTGTTCACACTTCTCTGTCCAGTCAAACCTCACACCATTGCGTGTTAATTGTGTCAGCGATCCTAATATTTCGGAGAATCATTCAATGAACCTCTGATAGAATCCTGCTAAGCCTAATAAACTACAAATTGCTCTTACACCGATTGGCCTTGACCAATTCAACACCGCCTCCACTTTACTAGGCTCCACCTCCATCCCTCGGGTTGTGACAATGTGTCCAAGGAACGCTACTCGCTCCAGCCAAAACTCACAGTTTTTGAACTTGGCATAGAGCTTCTCCTTCTTCAAAACCCCCACTACAATCCTTAAATGCTCCTCATGTTCCTCATTACTTCTTGAGTAGATCAGGATATCATCGATGAACACGATAACAAACTGATCCAGATACTTGTGGAAAATGCGATTCATCAAATCCATAAAGATTCCAAGAGAATTAGTTAGTCTAAATGACATAACTAAGCACTCGTAGTGTCCGTACTGAGTTCTAAAAGCAGTCTTAGAGATATCACTAGCTTGGATTCTCAATTGATGATAACCAGACCTTAAATCGATTTTGAAAAATACCACTTCACCTCTGAGTTGATCAAACAAATCCCCAATCCTAAGAAGATGATACTTATTCTTGATAGTGATTCTATTCAATTCTCTGTAATCGATGCACATCCTCATCGATCCATCATTCTTTTTAACAAATAGAACCGGTGCTTCCCATAGAGATACACTGGGATGGATGAAACCTCTGTCCAATAGTTCCTCCAGCAGTGCCTTAAATTCTTGTAAATCTTTGGGTGCCATTCTATACGGGGCTTTCGAGATAGGTGTTGAGCCGGGAGTAAGGTCAATTGTGAATTCTACCTCTCGATCTGGCGGCATGCTTGGCAACTCCTCGAGGAAGACTTCTAGATATTCACATACCACCATAACCTCGTCAACTATTAAGCTATTGTTCTCTTCCTTACTTATTACTGACATCACATCAGGAGTCCCGTAGTGATTTCTAATGGTACGACCTATCAGGCTTTCAATGCAGACAAGATGCTGGGTAATGTTCCACCTCCAGCCACAAATAATCGAAATCTCTCTTCCCCTGGTCTTTGAAAAGTCACATTTTTTTCAAAACAACGAATTATCGCGTGATTCTTGGATAGCCAGTCCATTTCAAGAATCACATCGAACTCCTCCATATCTAATACATACAATTTCGTCTCCAATGATTTAGCATCAATTTTTACTCTTGTTGTTCTAACTATGTGATTAATATTCACTATATCTCTAGTGGGTATCGTTACTACTAAAGGGAATTGTGCATAATCAACCATAACATCCAGTTTACATGGAAATTTAAGGGCTATAAAGAAGTGAGTTGCACCAGAATCTATCAATACATAGGCTAGTAAGTAGAATATGAGGACTTTACTTGCTAAGACATTTCGATTCGGATCCTCCTCCTACCTTGCTAGTGTATAAACCCTAGAAGGTCCTTCTGGTGCATGGCTTTGTCTATGTTGGTTGTTCCCATGTGGTCTCTGTTGGCTACTGTCATACTTAGGGCAATATTGAGCCATGTGTTCTTTTCTTTGACTGTCCATTAAGCTGCTTTTCCTCTCTACTAGTGCGGTTCTCGAAATTTGCCGATTGTGCCCTTGCCAACCGATCACGATAGTTTTCAAGCTGAAATACTACGATAGCCTGTTTCAAATCATCTTTCAGACCCTACTCAAAACGTCTCACCCTCTTGTCCTCTGTATCTACAAACTCAGGAGTATAACGAGCCAACTCTTCAAGCTTTTGCTTATACTCGATCAACGTCATTGAGCCTCGAGTTAAAGTGGGAAACTCAACTTCCTTCCGATTTCGAATACTTGTGGGGTAGTTTTTTTTTCAGAAAGACCTCCTTGAATTCATCCCACATCCAAACGTGACTAGGAGCCCTTGATCTGGCAGTGGTGTCCCACCAACGCCTA